CTTTTCACATCATCAGTTAGCATATTTGTAACTTAACATTTCTAATTCTGAACCTTAGCCTTGTTTGTTGTTTAAGATTTAATTAGGACGGCATGGATAGCATGAACGTATTTTATAAAGCAACAATATAAAGAAGTATATACTCTCACCACTTTTGGTTTTGGCATCAAAAAACATTATTTTGAGTTACTAATAATGCCTATTAATCATCAGTTAAACAAGTAAAGTGCGGAGCTGAAAGCAGGAGGATCTGCAGAGATCTGGACCCATCACCAGCAGCTGTGCACAGCCATTAGACCATGGTCCTGACGCATCACGTTGTGATGTGCGCATCTCTCGGTTGACATCCGGAGGTCTCTGGGCAATGAATCAGGGGCTGCACACAGAGAAACTGACACACAGTTTTTTCCTGTTAGAAAAGAAATCTATAAAAGCAAAAAATGGTTAATCATACTTAATATACTTTCAAAGCTGTTTTAAAAATATATTTAATTAAATCAAGCCAGATTTAAAGATATTTTCTGATCTCAGAAGTGTATAATATTTAAAGGAAAAACTTTATATAAATGTAGTACCAGGTTCTGGCAAGAATACAGAATGACTTAGACTAACAGATATTGCTGGTGGGAATGCAAACTGGTACAGACGCTTCGGGTAAACAGTTTGGCAGTTTCTTATAAAGTTAAACATATATTTACCATATGACTCAGCAATCTCACTCCTAGGTATTTACCCAAGTGAAATGAAAACTACATTCTCACAAAAATGTATGTATGAGTGTTTGCAGCAGCTTTATTTGTCATCACCAGTAAGCGGAAACTACCCAAATGTTTCTCAACTGGAGAATGGATAAGCAAACTGTGGTGCATTCCATACAATGAAATATCACTCCACAGCAAAGGGAAACAAACCACTGCTCCACACGACAGCATGAATGGGTCTAACGTGTAGATATTGCTGGTGGGAATGCAAACTGGTACAGACGCTTCGGGTAAACAGTTTGGCAGTTTCTATAAAGTTAAACACATTTACCATATGACTCAGCAATTCCACTCCTAGGCATTTACCCAAGTGAAATGAAAACTACATTCTCACAAAAATGTATGTATGAGTGTTTGCAGCAGCTTTATTTGTCATCACCAGTAAGCGGAACTACCCAAATGTTTCTTTAACTGAGAATGGATAAGCAAACTGTGGTGCATTCCATACAATGAAATATCACTTCCACAGCAAAGGGAAATAAACTACTGCTCCACACGACAGCATGAATGGGTCTAATGTGTGTTGTGTGTGGTGCATTCGTACCCATGAAATATCACTCCACAGCAAAGAGAAACCACTGTTCCACACAACAGCATGAATGGGTCTAACGGTGTTGTGTGTGGCATTCCGTACTCAAGAAATATCACTCCACAGCAAAGAGAAACAAACCACTGTTCCAATACGACAGCATGAATGGTCTCTACATGCATTGTGTGTGGTGCATTCCATAACAAAAATATCACTCCACAGCAAAGAGAAACCACTGTTCCACACAACAGCATGAATGGGTCTAACGTGTGTTGTGTGTGGTGCATTCCGTACCATGAAATATCACTCCACAGCAAAGAGAAACAAACCACTGTTCCACACAACAGCATGAATGGGTCTCACATGCGTTATGCTAAGTGAGAGGCAGGATTCAGAGGGCTGCATACTCTGTGACTCGATTTGTATGACATTCTTACAAAAGCAAAACTATAGCCACACACACACAAAAAGAAAAAAAAAACAGAAGAGTGTTTGCCAAGGGCTGGAGTTTGAAGAGGAAGTCACTGCAAAAGAAGCCTAGGGAGGATGACACTGTTCTTCATTCTGATTGTGGCGATGGTCACACGACTGCCTTTTAAAACCCTTAGATGCTCAAAAGGGTGAATTTTACTACAAGTAAATTGTACCTTAATATAAACGGAAAATGATTTTCTTAAAACCTGTAGTTTTCTAATGGTACTGGATTTAAAAACCGTCACCTACATATTAGTTTTGAACATATTAACTATTTGGTAATGCAAAGCCTTTGTTGGCTCTGAATAATCTAGCACGGAATTTTAGAAAAGGTTTCTTGTGAGTTGGTGATTCCCATGGAGAAAATGAAAACAGTAATAGGACAAACGGGCTGCTTTTCAGCATTCTCTTGCATGTGGATGCTAAGTTTGAATAACCACTGTGAATATTGATGAGCAGATCTCATAAATTACTCCATGGTTTTTATGCATAGCTCTTGCTGTCATTTTAACATAATAACTCTTTAATATGTAGGATCCCTGTTTTCTGGGTCATAAAAATAACTATAGAAAAAAATCTGAAGTGTTTCTGTTAGTGCTTATAAAACTATGGCATTCTATACATTTTTAAAAATACGCGACGTTGTAAGAAAAAGCCTAAAATGATTTTAGAAGTAGAAATTAAAGTTATCGCTCCTATAAAAATATGTCAAATTTTTAATGTAAATGGAAATAATTTGATTTATTTATTATATCGTCTGTATTTGCATAAATATAATGCATCAAAAACAGAAATATTACTCTGCCCTTTTATCTAAATGTTCAGGCCTGTATTGCATGCCTTTGCTAATTGCAATTCTAACACAACAATATAAAATAAACTCAAATTTAGGTTGTGCACATAAATGCAGTAAGTGGCATATTATATACTTTTTAATCATTAAATATGTTTTGTAGTCAGACAGCATTGTATTTAACCATCACTTCCTAATACATATTACATAAAGACCCAATAGGATGAAGATTGTTTCTATAACCGATGGACAAATATATTCTAAAAGTGCCTGTAAATATAAATTCTCTTAAGTAAAATATTGAATAAACTGAGGGACATGTTAGACATAACTAAATATATATATCCAGATATTAATAAAGATAAAAGCATATGTCTTCAGAGATAGATGGAGCATCAATATATAGATAGAAAAACAGATAATTTGTAATGGGGAAGTGATAGTCCATGAACCATAGGCAAAAATATGTATTTTTTCAGATGTATCATACATATTTTCAGTGGATTTTCTTACACCACATACAGGAATGTATTGTGTCCTAAAACAGGGAAAATGAAGCATGCCATGTAAGACTGTTGTAATGTAGCTATCTTGGCACTGGGCGCACAGGTATTCAATAAATGGGAGTTACTAGCATTACATATTGCTTGATCTCTACACACAGCTCTGCTGGCTTTCGTACAGGGATCCCTGGCCCTGGGCAGATGGTGAAGCCACTTACTATCTTTCCTGTTTATCTACTGAGGAGGACTGGCGGCTGTGTCTGTGGGGCCGGCCACACCTCCATGCAGATTTGGGTCTCTCCATACCTGCCAGGGTAACTACCCATTTTGGACATTCAGATTCTGCCATACCCAAGTTCTTCCTGTGGGATCTGCAGCTCTTTTTTGGATGTTACTATTCCAGGAGGGCTGGAGGCAGAGAAACGTGTGCCCGCTACTTGTAAGACAAAGAAACTGCTCTACCCTCAGAGAAAATCTGCCTGAGTGCTGGCTTCCCCTCAGAGATTCTCTCCCAACCTCGTAACATCTCTTTTCATCCTCCTGCCACAAGGAAGCTAGATGCATGGTTACATTTTCCTAAGAGTTAAGCGTGAGGTTCATAGTGTAAATTACTCTCCTTCCTTTCTGATAGGCTGAAATGTATCCTTCTGCATACAGTCTTATGCGTGCCTCTGGTAATGAAGACTGTGACCATGAAGTGTGCCCCTGGAATACAGCGTCTTCATTAATAACGAATACCTGAAGACAGAATAGCTTAGTTCATTAAATATATGCATATAGGTCTGTTCTTTTAATGGGAATAGACCTTTAGGAGAAATTTATGTAAATACCCTTGCATTAAATGGACCGTAGGATCCTTTTGAGAGTTTGTAAATGCATTCGAGGCAGTAATACATAAAGGCTTGACACTGAATCCTACCACATGAAGCCTAAAGCAATTGGTCACATTTAGCTCTTCAAATATATTTTTGGCGTTAGCAATAGTCTGAGTTATTTAGTTAACCATTCAAGGTGGCATTTCAGTCAAGCTTGAATAATCATTGCTTAAATTAAGAACTGTCAGGTACCTGTAATCCCAGCACTTTGGAAGGTCGGAGGCGAGTAGTTCACCTGAGGTCAGGAGTTCAAGACCAGCCTGGCCAACATGGTAAAACCTCCTCTCTACCAAAAGTACAAAAATTAGCCGGGCGTGGTAGCACACGCCTGTAATCCCAGCTACTCAGGAGGCCGAGGAAAGGGAATCACTTAAACCTGGGAGGTAGAAGTTGCTGTGAGCCGAGATTGCGCCACTGTACTCTAGCCTGGGCAATAGAATGAGACCCTGTCTCAAAAATAAAAATAAAATATAAATAAATAAAAAGCTATCAGATAAAGACGAAGAAGAGACCAAACCCAGATTAAATAATAAAGGGAAGGAACGAAGAAGTAAAGGCGAGTGAAAGGGTCACAGGATGAAAAATGTATAGAAAGCATAATAAGGCCAACGTCTTATTGAGGAGAGCTGTGACACTGAACAAGACTGATCCTTATATTGGTGGCAAACTGTATTAAAATTACTCAGAAAACTGCATATGGTGTACCTATCTCGCCATCCAGATGGTAAGTGGAGCTAGGATTTCAGTACAGATCTGAGTTGAGAAGCCGTGGTCTTGTCACTATATACAAAACCTCTCCTCTGCCATATGAACAGGAAAAGCCATTTCCCCTGGCTTTTCTTTTTTCTTTCTTTCTTTTTTTTTTTTTTTTTTTAAGTGTTCTTTGTTTTAGGGAACAAAATAATACTTTAGGGCCCTTCTCTCCACCAAACTAACATAAATACTTAGCTTTCCTAACTGTCAGTTGGGACAAATGTTGAATCATGAGTATTGCCGCTGGTAGGTGACTGACAGCCCAGGCAGGGCTTGACACAGAGGCTGACCAGACTCTCCTTGAACTCCTAGGAGCCGAGGTGACGTACATGAACATGACCGCTTACAACAAGGGCCGGCTGCAGTCCTCCTTCTGGATCGTGGACAAACAGCACGTGTATATCGGCAGTGCCGGTTTGGAATGGCAATCCCTGGGACAGGTAATCTTTCTATGTTATATAAACTGAAAGTTCTGTCACCCTCAAAACTACCACCTTCATAAAGCACGCTACTGTAGATAAGGATACTAAAACCTATGGCATTGATTATTCTTAATTATGTAATTTTAAGAGGCTCATCTCCCTTTTATGTGAAAGGATAAACCTTTCCTCATCAGGATCATCTTGCAAAAAAAAGTGAAAACTGCTATTGCTTCAATGCTTTTGTAATTCATAGGCTGCTCCTAGATTCCTGAGAGCAGGTTGCTATGTAATTTACATCAGCCAGACCTATATTTTCAGGATGATATTACATCGTCTGTGAGACAGAGGGAAACACAAATTCAGTACAGAGTAATATGTCTTCAGATAGTAATCATTTGAGTTATTTCTTTAATCTCAAGATGAAGATGTTATCTTTCTCTTAACAAATGATTAACTTCAAATATCTTAAAAATACATTTTCACACACTTAGGATTTTTATGCATTTATTTGCGTCAGAGGCAATCCACAGAGGATTACAAAATCACCATCTTTCCGTTAGTTATCCAGTGGCAGGAGGTTCCTGGTCATTGGATAGATACTTAGGGAGACGAGCCAACCTTCTCAGAACATCTTTTTAAATCAACACTCTCTCCTCCTCTTCCTCTCCACACCTACACACAGATATTGTCTCCTCTCCAGCCCACTATTTCTCCATAGCTCTCAAAATTTGGGATCATGCTATTATACTTAATCTTCTATCTTAAATTAGTGTTCCTTTCTCTTGTGCTTAACTATGTGGAATTTTTCTTGGTCTACCTCAGTGTGACATAAAGCATTGCTTAGCAGGACCCATGCATTAGAACAGATTTTAATTTACCAAAGTTAAGGCTAACCATTACATGAAGAATTATAATACATTTTTCCAAGAGTTAAATGTATGTTATCAGCTTTATACTTTGTGAAGTTTTTCAGTGAATTCAATGATTATTGCTATCAATTATTACCTTGTATCTATGGTAAGTAGAAGAAATAATTGTTTCAATGAATTGAGGCTTTCTGCTGTGCATTTTTCTAAGCATATAAGGAGTATAACCTCATTCCATTTTCACAGTAACTCTTTCTTGGAAATACTACTCTTATAACTTTATCTTGCAAAGGAAGAAGCTGAGACACAGGTAAGTAACTTACCCCAGGGCACCTTTCAGGAAGTAGCAAAGCTGGAACTCAAACCCAAGCCATATAGCTCTAAACCCCTCACTCTTACTTCACTAATCTTTTACAATAAATACATTTAGGAAAAAGTCATTTTCTTTCATGATCTTGCTGGGGTGCGAAGTTACAGATTTTCTCTCTCACCCTTTTCTGTAAGAAAATCTAACAACACAATCATCAAGAAACTTTACTCCCTGGAATCTTTCCAATTGCAAATCCATAATGATATGGTGGTCAGAGAATGACAACTACTCTTGCTCAATACTTGAGCTCTGCAAACTTGCTAATCTCTGGGTTGAACTTCAGAAACTAGGAAGTCAGTATGTGTTTGCTTCTATAGACATACATCAAAGATATTTCAGGTTTAGTTCCAGACCACTGCAATAAAGCAAGGCACACACATTTTTCTGGATTCCCAGTGCATATAAAAGTTACCTTTACACTACACTGTAGTGTAAGTGTGCAATAGCACTATGTAATATATATATATATATATGCATACCTTAATTTAAGAATACTTTATTGCTAGAAAATAACAATCATCTGAGCCTTCAGATATAGATGTCAGATTTTTGCTGGCAGAAGATTTTGCCTCAATATTGATGGCTGCTGACTGATCAGGGTGGTGATTGCTAAAGGCTAGGGTGGCTATGACAATCTCTTAAAATAAGACAACAATGGAGTTGGCCACATCAATTGACTTCCTTTCATGAAAGATTTCTCTGTAGCATATGAAACTGTTTGAAAGCATTTTATCCACCAGAAAACTTCTTTCAAAATTGGAGTCAATCCTCTCAATCCCTTACACTGCTTTATCAACTACTTTTATGTAATATTCTAAATCCTTTTTATTTCAACAATGTTCATAGCATATTCACTAGGAATAGATTTCGTCTCAACCACTTTCTTTGCTTGTTCATAAGAAGCAACTCCTCATACATTCAGGTTTTATACTGAGGTGGCAGAAATTCAGCCACATCTTTAGGTTCCACCTCTAATTCTAGTTTTCTTGTTATTTCTATCATATCTGCAGTGACTTCCTGCACTGAAGTCTTAAACCCCTCAGAGTCATCCATGAGGGTTAGAATCTACTCCTTCCAAACTCCCATTAATGTTGGTATGTTGACCTTCTCCCATGAATCCCAAATGTTCTTTTTTTGAGGTGGAGTTTTGGAGTTCTGCTCTCGTCACCCAGGCTAGAGTGCAGTGGCAGCTCACTGCAACCTCCACCTCCCAGGTTCAAGTGATTCTCCTGCCTCAGCCTCCCAAGTAGCTGGGATTACAGGCATGCACCACCATGCCCCACCATGCCCAGCTAATTTTTATGTTTTTAGTAGAGACGGGGTTTCAGCATGTTGGCCAGGCTCGTCTCGAACTCCTGACTTTATGTGATCCACCCACCTCGGCCTCCCAAAGTGATGGGATTACAAGCGTGAGCCACCACGCCCGGCCGACAGATGTTCTTAATGGTACCTGGAATGGTGGATCCTTTCCAGAGGATTTTCCATTTAATTTGCCCAGCTGTATCAGAGGAATAACTATCTATGGTAGCTATATAACCTTCCAAAAGACTTGAAAGTAGAAATTACTCGTTGATCCCTGGGCTGCAGAATGAGTGTTGTGTTATCAGGCATGTAGACAACATTCATTTCCTTGCCCATGTTCATCAGAGCTATTGGGTGACCAGGTGCATTTTCAATGAGCAGTAATATTTTGAAAGGAATCTTTCTTTCTGAGAAGTAGTTCTCAACAACAGGCTTAAAATATTCAGTAAGTCATGCTGTATTCAAAAGTCCTATCAGCCTAGCTTTGGTCCATTTCTAGAGCACAGGCGGAGTTGATTTAGCATAATTCCTAAGGGTCCTACAATTTTTATAATGGTAGATGTGCACTGGCTTCACTTAAACTCACCAGCTGCATCAGCACCTAACACAGTCAGCATGTCCTATGAAACTTTGAAGCTAAGCATTGAATTCTCTCCTTTCTAGCTATTAAAGTGTACAGGGGTCTGACCAACAGATTCTGACCCAGCAACGGATGAGAGACGCACATTGACATAGATATTTTGCCTGTCAGTCAAGCTGACGGTCCAGGCCACTCACAGACACCAAGGAAGGTGCTATAAAGAGTTGCAGCCACCAGTCAGCCAGTGAAGCTCACATTTATTCAATATAGATTAAATGACAAAGGTCTTGAGTAAACACCACTAGAGAGTAATTGACATTGCTGATTTCCCGAGTAGAAAACAATTATGCACTGTAGTTGACCAAAGGTTGGTCTTAGGACCACATGAGTAAACAAGCTATTTAGATAAAATACTCTACATTCCTTTGTATCTGTGTCCCAAGCTGTTAACTCAAGGTAAGGATTAGGCTGCTTTTAGCCACAACCCTATCCTGAAACTTTCACAAAACCTTCCAGCCTTCCAAGGTTTGTGTCTATATCCTATAACTTCATCTTAAAATTTTTCCCACCAGCCTGACTGAACTCCCACGTCTCCCCCTTTTCTGTTTTTTGCATTGGGTTCTGTTGACTGAAGCATACAGCTGTGTGCAGCAACAGGTCTGTCGGGCAAGGCGGTCATTGCTCTTATTCTGGCTTTGCCTCCTAGAATTAGCAAATAACATAAGACGATCATGAGTATAATTAGCATCATTCTTTCCCAATCAAGGAGTGACCTGCGGCATTACTTGGCACTTCAGTTTGGTGTGTGCTGTTACTAAGGAGCCCCGCTGGGGGTATGTTAACCCCTTCCAGCCAAGCAGTTGTGTTGTTAGAAGCTGGGAAGGGAGTGTCTGCCCAGATAACAGGGCTGAAAAAAGGCAGATTTAGAAGATAAGCTTAATAGAGTGTAGCAGGTACAGGTGGCAGGTAAAGTGAGAGAATTTAAAAAGATTAGTAAAGCACAGTAAGGAACAATTATCTGGAGTGAATGGTGCTGCGTCCGGAACAGGATTCGCTCAGTCTTCTGACTTGTCTTCTTCAGCATTCCGTCCATGGCCTGTGTTGTCCAAGGAAGGTGCATTGTCCAGGGCTGTGGGTCCTGTAGGGTTATTTTCTTCATTTCTGGTACAGGGCTGGGTCCTAGCCATGCCATGCTATGGTTTGATGCATCGTGCTGGAATCCAAAGAGGACCTGAGGGGGTGTGGAGGCAAGCATACCCTCTTCCCCATGTTAATTCATTTGGACCACACCATACATTACTGTTCACATCTTTCCATAAAACTGCAGGTTTTATGTCTTGAGAGGGGTTAGCAAAGTGCATTTCTACAGCTGATTGAAATTTGTCATCTAAATTTAAACAATTAAGGGTAAATAAGGCTTGTGCCAGTAGTGTTGCAGGGTCTTTACCCATACTCTCCCCTTTGTGTTTTTTGAACATAGTTTTCAGAGTGGAATGAGCATGTTTTACTATGACTTGTCCTTGGGGGTTATACGGGATACCTATGGAATGTTGGATATTCCACATGTGACCAAATTGTTGGAATTATGAGCTGCTGTAAGCTGGACGATTATCAGTTTTAATGTTTGTGGACCGTCCCATAAATGCGAAAGTTAAAAGAAGATGCTTAGGCTGGGCGCGGTGGCTCACACCTGTAATCCCAGCACTTTGGGAGGCTGAGGTGGGCAGATCACGAGGTCCGGAGATAGAGACCGTTCCGGCTAACATGGTGAAACCCTGTCTCTAGTAAAAATACCAAAAAAAAAAAAAAAAAATTGACCAGGTGTGGTGGCAGGCACATGTAGTCCCAGCTACTCGGGAGGCTGAGGCAGGAGAATGGTGTGAACCTGGGAGGCGGAGCT